CTTGTTTTGGTTTGTCAACGATTAACCCTAGCTGTTCACAAAAAAGGTTTCTGTACCAAGGTCTTCCACTTTTTCCTTTGTTATTTTTTTCCTTTACCTTTAGCTGACTGTGTTTGGAAAGACAGGTTGTTAGAAATCTGTAATATCATTTCCATACACCGAACCCAGTCTCTTAATGTCAACAGCCTGTATTGATACGAACTTTCATTTTTGGGCCTAGCAGACACTTTATTCAAATCGTCCATTTTTCGTGGAGTAGCTCAATATATACTAAATATAGACGCAGAAAGCATATTCGTTAATACTTGAGCCACTTTTCCATCTATTATTGTTAAAAAAATTTCATGTTTAACTTGTATTCCTTTACAAAAATTGTTAACTATAGATAGCCGTAAAGAGTATATTTGGCTTTTTATTTCATCTACAACAACCAATAATACCATTAAAAGGATGCATGTCCATCAAAACTAATTCTCAATAAAAAATTGACAAAATAACTTACGCAAAACTATTGTTATAAACAGACATAGTCTAAAACCACGATAAAAAGCAGTTTTTTGTTTTCTGACTTTTAACACCTTTTTATTTATAGTTTTGGAAACCTCACCAAACTTTCGTAACTTTTGCGTAGCTCAACTAAGGTTACGGAAATCGTACGTTCAACGTTGTTTTCTTAACTATTTTCTATTTACTAATGTTTCGCAGCATTTCCGTAAAGTTAGGGTTGCGCATGAGTTGCGCTGAACGCAAAAAAAAAAAGAAAAAAGACCAAGTTGATTTTTTTTAAAATGGACCAAGTTTTTGTAATTTTATAAAACAAATTTTTCTAATATTGAGTTCATATAATTTCTAACAAATTTAAATTTGGGATTATTACTAATTAACATTTTTTACAGCCTATCAAAATGAAAGTAAAATTTTATCAAAGTGTTTTCTAGATTTTTGAAAAATTGGAACCACTTATTATTAACATAACATCTTAGGCTGGAATGCAAAAAGCAAACTTGAGTCAAGTTTGACTTGAACTTTACTTTTTAACCAATAGCGTCAGAGTATTTTTTGAGTGGAAAACCCATACTCTGTCAAAAAATCTTAGCCCCCCATCTTTCCCCAAACGAGAGATCAACAAATTGATGAAAAATTTTTTATACTATTGTCAACTAGACTTATATTCATCAATAATTTTTAAATTTCATGATAAAATATTTCAGTTTTCAAAAATTATGATCATATAAAGTTTAAGCCCCCCTCAATTTGAGGGGGTTGAAAGTTTTAGATGATCATAATTTTTGAACGCTAAGAAATTATACTATGAATTTTAAAATTTATCAATAAATATAAGTCTAGTTAAAAATAGTACAAAAAATACTTCATCAGCTTGTTGCTGTCATGATTGGGGTAGGGGGAGGGGCTAAGAATTTAGGGTTTCTTGTTCCCATTCTCCTTTCATAGTAATTTTTTTGTGAAGAATCTTTTCGTTATACATATGAACGTAAAAAAGTTTGGAATATTCTTTTTGTTTAAAAGTTGGTTATTTAAAACATTTAAAAACCTTCCTACGCCACTGAATGGTTTTTTGGACATCAATTATATTTAAAAGAAACGCTGGATGATTATTTAAATAAAGCCTTTCGCCTTTGATAACCTTTTTTCTTACTACCTGCCAAATTTCATTGACAAAAAAGCATACCAAGACACCTTAAAACTATACCCCAATTAGGTAAAGATTTTCTTGTTTTTTAAACATAAAGTATATATCAATAAGATATGCTGGATCATTTTTTAAATATAGTCTTTCACCTTTAAAAATCTTTTTTCTTAATACCTGCCAAATTTCATTAAAAAAAAAAGCATACCCAGACACATTAAAACTATACCCTAATTAGGTAAAGATTTGCGTGTTGTTTGGATGTATATATGAAAGGAAAGCTTGTTCATTTTTCTAATATACTTTCTCATCTTTAAAAACCTTTTTTCTTACTAACTGCCAAATTTAAAAAAAATGCATGCCCAGGCACCTTAAAACTTAACCCCAATTAGGTTACTACTTTAAGCTTATATAATGCTATACACAGAGGCTGGGAAGAGGGGGCAAAGTGTATTAGTAATAACAGTAATGATGTTAAATATAGATTATATAATTAAATTAAATAATTTAAAGTAGTAATGTAAAGTAGTAATGTAAAGTAGCAATAGTAATGTCAGTATATTTACCAATATTTTAATATGTTATTATTTTTTATTTATCAAAAAGTAAACTACTTAATCTAATTTTTTTTAAAGTTTTTTATGCATTGCAAAAATATAATGATAGTTTTACATTGTCTTTAATAAACATTTATGACTCTAAGGCAGTACAGTTTGTAGAAACGGACATATTTTTTTATTATTTACAAAAAATAGTGGCTTGTTAATCAAAACATCCTAACAAGTCACTAAACATTTAAAGATCTAAAAATCAGGTTAGGAGTCTCATAAATAAATCGTGGAGTTGGGCTAGACATTTTCACAGGGTTAAAGACAGTATTTTGACTTTTGCAATGAACCTTTTTTAGGCCATATATCAAATTAGCCTTATATTGTATTATCATCAGGCTATTCAGATATTTTATTTGCCATTATGAATGATTTATATCCATTAAATTATGAGCCATCTGCATCTGCAGGTTATAACAAACGAAATATTACTTAGCATATCTTTAGAGAGAAATTTTGCCCTATAAAACAAAAACTAAAAGAAAGTTTCTTAGTTTTCTTCTTAGTTAGCTAACTCTTAAATAGAATGTAGAGGCGTCGATAACACTATTAAAAGCTGTTTTTAACAGCATGCCAAATCAATTATGTGTTCTAAGTCAAAATGTTAAACGAAAAGAACAATAATTAAAGCTTTAAGGACAGAAATACGAGATCTGAAAAAACACAGAAAAAAAAATGACAGTAAGCAGATTCTTCAATTTAAAGCTAAAAAAAAAGCTTTGAAATTAAATAAAAAGCATAATTTAAGGCAACTCAAAACTAAACATAATGCCGCTGTTTTAAAAAGTTATAGGGTAATTGCTAGTTTGGAGAATCATTTGCTCCAGATTGAGGAGGAAAGAAATGTAATTATGTCAGAAGATGAAAAAACATATTCATTACAAATATGAATGAGTAATGTAACATTCCATATCTTATGAGCAAAATAGGGCATTATATAGGTGTTATTTTTAATAATATTCCATATCGAAGTACTATTGAGCAAACTCTTGTGAACTTGGCAGTATTTCAGATTTATATTACTATGCATAGCCTACTCAGCAAGCAGCAGAGTAGGCTATGCATAATAATAATCTTACTTTTGGTGATGATACTATAACACAAGAAGGTGTCCACATTCATAGCATTAAATTAACATCTAAAGATAAATGTCTTGTTATTGCTTTAGATCAGTTACCAGGAAGACCAGCATTTGATTATGAAAGTCATATATGCACTTCAATTGGTTATATGACATTTGTTTACTCAGATTTTTACCAAAATAGTTTTGATAAATGTCATAACTGGATTATTAAAAATATATCTAACACATTGTCAGATAGAGTTGCAGTCAACCTCATACTATAACCAAATTTTGCAACCTGGGGCATGAATTTGAATGAGCTAAACTGCCATTTGCACCCTCTTGACACAATTGCAATTTCATGTCGCTCAGCGTTACAGTCTTTTGAGAGTGAGAGTTGCCAATTATTTGGATATGATTGTATGGCAGTTAAAATTGTTTTGTCCATGAAAAAAATGAGGTTTGTAGACGTCAAAGGTGATCCAAAAGGATTTGTAAATTTTTTAGATGAAAACAATCTACCATGAAGTATTATTCCTAGATATAGTGAAAATCGCCTTCATTTTTTATTTTTTATTTTATTTTCATTACAGTGAGTAATAAGCATTACAGTGAGCAACGTATTTTCATTGTTTTAATAAATACTGCGTTGGTATATATATATATATATATATATATATATATATATATATATATATATATATATATATATATATATATATATATATATATATATATATATATATATATATATATATATATATATATATATGTATATATATATATATAAAATTGGAATATTTTAAAAAATAATTATGCTGGATCCAAAATTTTTGCGATTAAACAATTTTTAGGGATCCCTACACATGATCCACCTAAATATTTGGGCACCCGAAATTTTTTCTTTAAAACACAGAGGTTTTAAAAAAGTAGAAAAAGTGCTTTCCAAAAAAATCTTACCCAGACTACTTAGTAATATGAGCACTTTAAATTAGCTCAAAAAAATAACATTAATTAAGTAAAAAAATACGAACATGATAATAAGAACTAATTTTTGGAATATAATGATTCGTTATTAATAAAACTTATCGTTAAATGATCAAATTTTAAACCACTTTTCGTTGAAACAATACTACTAACAAATTTATGTTTTTCGCAACAACAAAAAAAAAAAAAAATTAGTTTGTTCAAAAGTTTGAGTTAATAAAATTGAAAAAATTAATTTTTTCAATTTTATTAACTCAAACTTTTGAACGATAAAAATTCAAACTTTTTAAATTTAAAATACAGAAAAATATTTAGTGTAGTTAAATTAGTAAAATGTTTTGTTTTTATTCAAAAAGTTATTAAAACCACTGCTATTGAACTAGGTAGCTTCAATGAAAAACAGTGGTTAATTTTAGCATGCTCATATTACACAAAAATGGCATCTTTAAATAAAGTCAAAACTAAAAAGTCTATATGCATTGTTTTTCAAACAAAAATGCAACGGATTTTTAGCTAAAATATTTTCTTTATGAAAAAATTAATTTTTTTATTTTAGCACCAAAATTTTGCGCTACAGATTTATTCATGCGTGATGATATTATTTTAACCATTAAAAAAATTTAACAGCGTTTTAATTAGATAATAGCCGCTTATTACAGCATTTAAATTTAAGCTAATTGTACTGATTCCTGTTATCACCACATAAAGTTGATTCAAAAAATACAATGCAATTTTAACTTCATTACTTCCATCTAAGAAATCTTTAAGTACGCTCATATTACTAAGGTGCTCATATTACCTTAATCTACCCTATACTTTTTATTCATTTAGCTGCTGAATTCTGATATTTTCTTTCTTTGTATGTTTAAAGAAAAATTATAAATAGGTTAACACTAATTTTTATAACTTTTTTAAAACTTATTTCGTATTAAAATTTTTTAAAAATTAAATTTACCAGCTTCATCCACGTCATCGCTGCCATCTGGCGAAACAGAGTGAAGACCAAGACCTCCTCTGTAAGTTTTTTAATGTGTTTTAATTTTTATTTTTCATTTAATTTTTCAAACACTAATTTAATAAGTGTCTAGGAGTGATTTTTTAGTTTTGCGTTGAAGCCACCCTGGGCCTAAATCAAAAAGGGCCTTTCGCATATGGGCCCAGAATGAAGGTAAAGACCTGTCTTATTTTAAATACAAAAATCCTTGTGGCAGAAAGAATGGCAGAGGATTTCGAAATGTAAATATTAACAACTAAACATATACTTATCAATAAGTTTATATAGATTCACTTAAGCATAATGTGTATGTATATGTGTATGTATATATTTATTTAGTTGATATTTGTATATAATCTTTTTGTATACTAATTTTTGTATATAGTTGAGTTTGATTTTTGTATAAAAATTTGTGTTTTATATAAATAATATTTATTATTACAAAAAAAAATATTTTAGTTTTAACCCACCCTACCCAAGGTGTGAGGGATGTAGAGCTTCAGAATAATACCCTCTTGCACCTTTTTCACGCGTTTATCCCTAAAATCTTTCTTTTTTTATGTTAAATTGCATGCATTTAGATATGAAGATAGTAATTAAGTATCTTGATATTCGGTCAGTGTGCGCCCGAAGACAAAAGGACTTCTAGCCTATCAACTTTAAGTATCAAAATCATACTTGATGGTACCATGCTAGAATATATTAAAAAATACAAATAAAAGTTATAAATTTCAATTCAATAATAATATTTTCTTTTATAAAAGCTATATTTTTTAATATAATTAAGGGTTTTGTAGACGCCCCTCTAACGCGCTTTTACACCCTTTGTATATACATATTCCATATTGTTAGACCTATCTTTTGATACCAAGATGTATGTATTTCGATTAGAATTGACCAAGTTATGACATTTTAAGTTAAAACAACTTGAAGCTTGACCACAGTTTCATTAGGAAATCTATAAATCAAAAATTCGGTACTCAAAATGCCATAACTTTTTATAGAATAGTTTAATTTTAATGATTTTTTTCACCTTTAAAATACTGAATTGAAGACCTTTCCAATTATATATAACAATTTAGTGTTTGATATAAAAATTAATTGTCACGTACCTATCATTATCCATTTAATTAAAATATATCAAGATACTACTTTATGCTGTTATATTACTGATATAAGATAAAAAACTGATAATGTTGTACAAAAATATAACAACATCAATAAGATATTATAATAAACGATGTTTTATCACTATAGTTTATAATAATATAATATATTAATTATTAAGATGTTATTAAGTTAATAAGATGTTAAATTATTATGATTATTATTAGATATTTGTGTTAATATCTATGATTATTGTTAACTTTATTATAATATATACAATTTACATACTTACATATTATATATATTATAATAAGATTTTATACCAATCTTACAATATATAGCTATATATGAATTATAATAATATTACACCATTTCTAATATTTAATAATTTTAACGTTACGCCAAAGTCAAGTCAGCTTATAGCTAAGGGGTCGTCCATAAATTACGTCACACTATAAGGGGGAGGGGGTTGGTAGTTTTGTGACGACTCAAACAAAACTTGCTTTTTAAGTGTTACGATTTTGTGACGAGGGGGAGAGGGGAGGTAAAAATCGGTCAAAAAATGCGTGACGTAATTTATGGACGATCCCTAAGCTAACTTTTCTTACTTAAATTAACCTTGGTGAATACCGTTTTGGCTTGGTGAATACCGATTTCTTAGCGCTGAACTTGTTTAACGCAACTGCGCAAGTTTTCTGTTTTGAATTTACGCCAAACTTACGCCAAACTTATGCAAAAAAAAATGCTTGCTGAATATGCTCCCTGATTTTTAGTAAATCAATTTTATAGACACCTAAGCTGCAAATCAATCATAAAAATGAAGCGTGGGGAAGCGTGGGTGACTGCTAAAAATATTGGTGAATTTTTAGAACTTTTAAAAAAATATATAACACTTTATTTTTTAGCTCATTTTATAGTTTAATTAATTATTAGTACATAAAACCATATAATTTAAAATATGAATTTGTTCTAAAATCTCCATTACCTAATACTTTTAAAAATATATAACACTTTATACTTATTCATAAAAAGTTTAATAGAAATAAGTTTTAAAGTGATGAAGCAATTAAGTTTCAATTGAACATTGAACAATTAAACAGAAGGGCTTCAAAAATAATCTTTAACAATTAAACAAAAATATTAAACAGTAGGGCTTCAAAAATAATCTTTGCATTGAAAAAATAATTTTTGCATAAAATTAGCTGAAATTTCCACATTATAGTAAAGAATAACTGTTAAACAATTAAAAAAAAACTAAAGTATAATTTCTGGAGTAAAGTTTGAACAAAAATTTATTGTACGTTTTTGTAATACTATTTTCCACAGTCAATTCAACGCGCACCGAATTGTGCAGGATTCAAAACGCTTCAAAACCTATATGTAACTAATCTTGCTATGGGTCAAGTTCCTGAACTCACTTATGGTCTTATAATTTAGAGTTTGTATGCGTTTTAGAGTCAATAAGTTTTAATGACTCTAAAATGTATACTTAAACAGGAGCTTATTGCTCAGTCTATTGTAGGTGATAAAAGCACAAAAATGGTTGAAGAAGCTAAAAGACATGATGAGGCTGTTGAAAAATTGAAAAAAGCAATAACTAAGTGAAATGAAAAATTAGCTGAGGCTATTGATAAAATTAATGCTAGGTTCCAGGATGAAGGGGAGATCCAAGCTAGATTAGACAACTTGATGAAGCCAGCCGTATCTATCGCGAAATAGTTGAAAAAAAGAAAATCTCATTATAATAAACTTCTAAATAAATTTCTTTTTTGGAAGATGTAAGCTTTTTTATCAAAACCATTAGATATGAGCATCTTAATATTGTTGAATATTTATATGAAAAATGTCCTTTTAGTCAAAAGTTCAATTCAAGATGGCAGGTTGAAGCTTTTCAAACAGCTGTATTTGTTAACAACCTTGAAAGAGTAAAATTTCTCACAGTTAAAAAATGTGAGATCTTACAGTCATTACCTTGACTGTAAGAAAGAAAAAATCTTTTACTGTTTGACAGTTGTATTTGTCCCACCCATGGGACAAATACAACTGTCAAACAGTAAAAGATGGAGTCCATGTAAACATTAAAAATGGGTTGGTAAATGCGGCTATTTTAAAGTTTCTCGGAAGCATTTTATTAAGAAAACTTTTCATTTTCAGAATATCTTATATAAACACGGGTGCCCCTGTGGATAAAGATGAGTTACATTGAAGCTATGGAAGCTGTGGAAAAAATGATATGACCTATTTAAGAGCCCACAATGTAAAATGAAATGCTTATTACAATTTTTAAAGAGCTGATGCTGCCATTTGACAAATTTTAGCTCCCGACCTGGATCTAACAAGCGAATATGTCGAATGATATATCAAGTTTTATTGAATATATTTTTCACTACACTTATTAAAAATTTATTTTAAACTAAATTGCATCTTCGTCAGATTTCAATTTTGTCAATTTTTTGTGTTTGGAAATTTAATTGACTCGCATGTATAATAAATAAGTTCTAATTCTTCAGGACTCATTTTCATTATCTGCTTGGTAATATCATCATTAATGATATCATCATTAATGATATCATCATTAACGGTATCATCGTTAATGGTATCATCATTAATGATATCATCATTAATGATATCATCATTAATGATATCATCATTAATGATATCATCATTAATGATATCATCATTAATGATATCATCATTAATGATATCATCATTAATGATATCATCATCAATGATATCATCATTAATGATATCATCATTAATGATATCATCATTAATGATATCATCATTAATGATATCATCATTAATGATATCATCATTAATGATATCATCATTAATGATATCATCATTAATGATATCATCATTAATGATATCATCATCAATGATATCATCATTAATGATATCATCATTAATGATATCATCATTAATGATATCATCATTAATGATATCATCATTAATGATATCATCATTAATGATATCATCATTAATGATATCATCATTAATGATATCATCATTAATGATATCATCATTAATGATATCATCATTAATAATATCATCATTAATGATATCATCATTAATGATATCATCATTAATGATATCATCATTAGTGATATCATCATTAATGATATCATCATTAATGATATCATCATTAATGATATCATCATTAATGATATCATCATTAATGATATCATCATTAATGATATCATCATTAATGATATCATCATTAACGATATCATCATTAATGATATCATCATTTATTTTTCCTAAGATTTATTTTTCTTTCTCTCAGCAATGACTTTCTTTTTATCAATTAAGTTGAGATATGATATCGTTTTTAAAACTTCTTCAGGTGCTTTAGATTGACTTAAAACTATTCAAAACTCAGCTACAGATATATACTTTGAATTAATTTTAATTCTTACATAAAGTCTTCTATTTTTAGGAGTGCTGATATACTGATCAAATTTTGCTCGATTAGCATCGATAAATCAAATTCTTCTTTTTTAATTTTTCTAATTTGTGCCTCCATCATTGTATTATGCTATGACAATTTTTTATCTAATTAAAAATGAATAATAATTAATAATATTGTATAAAAACATAATGGGAAAAAAAGCTTTCAAAGTTTTACTATAGCCCTCAACGTTATTGGAAAGAGCCGCTATAACAAAACTTGTAGCAGCTGCAAAGGTTTTTGAATAAGATGCTGGTGAATGGCTTAATTAACAAGCAATTTGGCAAATTTATCTCCCCCCCCCCCACCTATTTACATACCAAGAGTAAAAATATATGAAAGTAAACCTAAAAATATTAACCAAGTTGATTAGCTCTATTTACCTTACCGTTGGTCTTAAAACTTAATTAAAGTTAGTCAATTTACTTATAAATATGCTTTAATGGCTGTTGATGTAGCTAGTCGCAATAAAGACAACAGCAAGAAAAATATAAAAATTGGGCAAAAGTAAATAAACGTACAAAATACAATAAAATTATATATGCAAAAAACGTTATAGACTTTATATAAAAAAGAAAACCTTAAACACAAAAAAAAATTTTATTATTTTTTTTTTTTTATTACACATTGGTATACGATTCCCAATAATAAATGGCAACAATAAACGAAATATACAATATTTTTGTGAAGCTAATCCAATAAAATTAATAGAAGTAGCAGAACGTAAAACAAATGGAACTGGTGTATTAAACCTGCCATTTCTGTCTATTTCAAACAAATTAAGTTCTACATTTAGCTGGTCAATTAAAATTAACTAATCTTCTTTAAGTTTTACTGGTACCTTATATATCATGGAATTAATTGCAAAACTTTAAAATATGTCAAATCCAGGGCTGTACCATGCCAACTTTGCGCTTCGGGCAAGCAAATAAAATTGCGCCCCCCTCCCAAAAAAATATACAAAAAACACATTATATATATATATATATATATATATATATATATATATATATATATATATATATATATATTTACATGAAAAAAAATTAAATATTGATCACAAAATTTATCGCATCAAGTTAAAAGAACAATTTGTCACCAATGTTTCACAAACTTCAGTTCAAGGTCACTTTTCTGGCTTTTTTGGAGGCAAAGTCACAAATGACATCATCAAAATCAAGTGCGTTGGCCACTTCATGTTCAATTGAAGCTACTGCCAGACAAGACAAACGTTCTTGGCCCATAGTTGATCTCAAATAGTTTTTTATGATCTTAAGTTTACTGAAACTTCTTTCACACGTGGCAACTGTAACTGGTAAGGTGAGGAAGATGCGAATAGCAATTGCCGTGTTAGGATAAGCATCAGTCAATGAGTATTTATGAATGAGCTGCAAAATGTCCATCGGGCTAGATTTTTCAAAGTTTTCCATCATGGCAGCAGCTTGATATTTAAAGCTTGCCATTTCTGACTGGAAATCTGAAGAATCTAAATCTGCCTTGTAAATTTTAGACAAATTTTTGGCTTTAGTCTTAAGTTCATCCACTGAACTTTTGGAGAGAGAATGTCCACTGAGGAAGTCAAAATCTGAGGATACTGCAGACATAACTTCAAACCGCCACTCAATTTGCGTGAGAATGCTGTCAAACACAAGGTTGCACTGAGATCCGAAATCTGTTTCTGGTGACAAACGGCAAAAGTCATCTTCAGCTTCATAAAGTGCCATCTGCTTCACTTTGCGCTTTCTCTTCATAGGAAAGTCTCCTTTAATTCCAATTTGGATAGCTGTTTCTGCAGCAGCTTTGATAATGTTGCCCACCCCAACATCTCTCAGATTCTGAATGGAAGCCTTCAGTCCTTTCATTTTTTTTGCTGCAATGTCAATTGAAATGTTTTTATACTGAAGCAGTTTGTTTTCCCGGTCAATTAAAGAAAGAATTTGACACCAAAAATCCAACAAACACAGAAAACTGAAATCAATTTGAATGATGAGCTCTTTTGCACTGCAAACTGAGACAGCATTTGTCTTGGGAGTGTGAATTATGGATTCCAAAACTTGAGGAACTTCTTTGATTTGTCTGTGTAGTGGGGTGATTGCTTCTTTTTTGGCAGACCATCTTGTATCACTATTTCCCTTTAGTGAGATGGTCAATGTTTTCATCAGTTTTTCCCATCTTAAGGTAGAACTTGAGAAAAAGTTAAAGATGGCTTGAAGTTTTCCAAAGAATGTAATCATGTGTGGAGAAACTTCAGCAGCATGGACACCAACAAGGTTTAAAGTGTGAGCTGCACATGGAACAAATCTTGCAAACTCATTTAGAGAATGAATGTGAGCTTGGACGCCATTATATTTTCCAGACATATTGGCTCTATTGTCGTAACCTTGACCCCGACAATCAGAAATGCTCAGGCCATTCTTCTCCAGTTTTTCGGTGATTTCAGCTGCAAGGCCCTTTCCAGTTTTTTCGTGAGATTCAATGAAGTCCACAAAGCTTTCCTCAATTGTACAGGTTTCCTCAGTGATGTGGACATACCTGATTATTTGGGTCATCTGCTCTTTGTGGGAGGCATCTGGAGTGCAGTCAAACAAAACAGAGTAGTATTTAGGTTCTCTGACATTTGACAAAATTTCATTCCTGACTTTCTGCCCAAGTAACTCAATCAGCTCATTTTGAATTCGAGGAGAAAAGTAGGATGTTGTGGTTTTTAAGTCTTTGCCTTAACGGATGCAACGTGTTCAGCCACTAAAGGATAATAATGGCTTATCAGCTTAACTTAATTGAGCTTATCAGCTCAATTAAGTTCAGAAAAATGCCACCGTTTTGTTCTCCAACTACTTCTGTTTAACCCCGAAGGGCAAGATTGTTCTTGGCACAGAACAAAATTGCATCAACAATCACTTTCAAGATATCTCTCCACTTTTTCATCTCTCCGTTGATAACTCTCTGCAGATCAGAATCCAAGGTCTTTCCTTCCTTGAGATTTTTTTCCAAATTTTTCCAATCAGAATAGCATCTTTGGTGTTCATTGCTGTTTTCGTGTTCTGGAATTCTTGGGTTTAGTTTTTTCCAGTCACAAAATCCTTTTGAAATTTCTGAAAAATTGTTGGTTTTTGTCGTTGAAAATAGCAGACAGCAAAAACAAAACAAAGAATTTTTTTTGTTGCTGTACAGCAGCCAGTAGCGAACAAATTTTTCACCATTGGGATGAATTTTTTCATACCATTTTGAGCTGAAGTGTCGCATTCTGTTTTCAAAGTCACAAAGTGTGTTTGGGAAAAATTCTCTTCTTTCTTGCTCCGGCCCATGCTGAATCAAAAAGCACCTTGTTTTATCTGTCATTTTCGGCCATGTAGCTGGATCACTGTGTTGAAAGTTTTCTCCTGAGGTTGCTAAAATTTCTGAGATTTCAGGAGGAAATTCACTGTTGTCCATTTTAATTGGTTTGAAAAGCTGAGAATTTCTATCTTCTTGTGCTTCTGAATCATTTGGTCCAAATTCGTCTTGACTTTGGCCATTCAAAATCTCCTCTTCAATTAATTCCAATGGATGATATGAATTTAAGTCAGTAATTAAAGATGTAGCAGCAACTTCAGCTGTTGAATCATTATCAACTTCATTGCAAACATCCTCTGAAATAATTTGTTTTTCCACAGAAGAGTTTGTTACCAACCACTTCTTGAAACAATTTCTTAGTTTTGCGTCACTTTCAAGACGGTCTCTTCTTTTCTTCTTAAATTCAGCACCAGATAATTTTTTTGCACGATTCATTGTAAAAAATAATGTTCAGAAAATACAACTTTTTATTTTTTAATTGCGCTCTTCTATTATTTCTTTTTTCTTTTTTCTTTTCTTCTCCCTCTTTATTTTTATTATTATTTGCTTACTTTACTTTCTTTAGCTTTCATTTCATTTGTTTCTTTATTTAAGCCGCTTAAATTAAGCGCTCTTTTTTTTAAATTCGAAGTTCTTTTTTTCTATATTTTTTTTTTTTTAGAATAACTTTTAATGTGTGCGTTAAATTAAATTATATGATCCTTAATGAATCATTTGTTTATATTATAAATAATTATTGGTTTTTAATTGTCGTTCTTAAATTCAGCACCAGATAATTTTTTTGCACGATTCATTGTAAAAAATAATGTTCAGAAAATACAACTTTTTAGTGTTTAAGGGCTCTCTTCTGTTTGGTAAATGAGCTTTTATTTTAAAGTTCGTCAGGAGGCGCAATTTTAATTAATTTTCTTATCAACATAAAAGTGACGCCACGCAAATTAGTTTCATAATGTGAAAATAAATAAATTAATTTGGGGAATTTTGCGCCCTCCCAATTTTGGCGCCTCAGGCCGCGGCCCGGCTGGCCCCGCCCTTGGTACGACCCTGGTCAAATCTAATAAAGGACAACGTCTTTCTACACCATACATACTTGAGGAAACCTGATCTTGGCTAGAAACAGCTGCCAAGGGAAAGTGATGCATTTTATCAGTACGAAGTATTGCCTCGTGCTCAGAACATATTTTATTTTTATCAATATACGAACTCATCCACTGTTGACATAAAAAACCAGAATTAAAAGCACGACAAAAACCAGCTTGTGCATGGGCTAAAAGATTATCAGCAGAGATTGTTACTAAGCCACCAAATAGTTGCATCTCCTGACCATCAAATATAACTAATATTTCTTTATTTTGTAATTTTTTTAAGTCCTGAATAAAAGATTTTAAAACACCCTTGTATGTTTTATATTTTTTAATTAATTTTTCTTTAACAAGAATACATAAGTATATATTTTGATGTCTTGGTATATATGCACAAAGTTTATACACTGTACGATGAGCTCCAATTGGATACCTCAAATTCATAAATTAAAGCTTTAAAGCATACTTGTCATTAAAAATGTCATGGTACTTATAAATAATGTCATGGTGCTTACAAATGTCACGGTACTTACTAATAAAACCATCTAAACATGAGTTTAGAAAATCGATTTTCTCAGACAGATCATTCTCTAATTTTCGCTTTATAGAGTTCCATATTTCATCCTTTTTAATTAACTTTTTTAGCAGAGGTAAACTTGGAAT